ATCTCTAGTCATGCATGCATAGTTTGTGAAATTGATTAAGTGAATGTTGTTTGGCAATATGTGGACACTCTTACTCTGATTTTAAAAGAAAAATTTTGTCGGAATCTTGTATTTGTAGAAGATGATTTTTAAAACGAGCACTCCACACTCATTATTATCTATAAGTCTTCCGCTATCATATTCTAAACTACTAAGTAGGTGTAATTAGAAAAGGGGTGTCACACTTATGATACATGGTCCATGTGGCGTATTTAATCCCCATTCCTCCTGAATGCAAGATGGAAAGTGCACCAAGTATTTCCCTTCTCAAGACGAAGATGGATATCCCTTATACAAAATGAGAGACAATGGAAGAGTTGTTAAAAAGGGAAATAATTTTGTTGATAATAGGTTTGTAGTTCCTCATAATCCATATTTGATGAAAAAGTACAAGGCACATATAAATGTGGAGTGGTTTAATCAATCAAGGTCGATTAAGTACCTGTTCAAGTATGTCAATAAAAGCCATGATCGTGTTACTGCAAGTTTTTATGAAAGCTCAACAGATGATCTTGAATCCAATTGCCAAGATGAGATAAGAGGTACTATGATTGCAGATATTTATCACCGTGTGAGGCAGCTTGGAGACTATTTGCATTTGATATTCACTACAGGGAACTGTCAGTCGAACGTTTGCCTCTCCACCTGCCGGACGAACAAGTCGTAATATTTGGTGATGATGAGCCGATGGAATCGATTCTAGACAGACCCAATATACAAAAATCAAAATTTTGGCATGGATGGAAGCAAATAAGATTTTTCCCGAAGCAAGAGATCTTACCTATGCACAATTTCCTATGCAATTTGTATGGAAACAACCGCTACATGAGTGGCGTCCGAGGAAACGAGAATTATATTATTTGAGAATTCTCCTTAATATTGCAAAGGGACCAACTTCTTATGAACAGTTAAGAACAATCAACAATGCCATCTACCCTACATTTAAAGATGCATGCTATGCAATCGGTTTGTTGGACGATGACAAAGAATACGTAGATGGAATTTAAGAAGCGAGCGATTGGGGAAGTGCCCACTTCCTGAGAAAAAAATTTCACAATTCTTTTGCTTTCAAATCAGATTTCACGACCGGAGTTTGTATGGAACAGTACATGGCACCACTTGAGTGATGATATCCTAAATAAGCATAGAACACTACTACCATTTCCAGGCACTACATCTGCATTTTATTATGTTTTACATTTTAACAATAATTCTCTTAAATGCACATTATATTGAGTTTTTTTGCAAATATTATTAATTTATTCTTTTTTTCTTCACAGATTTGCAACTTAGTGAAGATCAGTTGAAAAACTTCGCTCTTGCAGAGATTGAGAATATTTTGCGCAGTAATAATAGGAGTCTAGCTAACTTTCCGACAATACCTCAACCGGTCATGTCTTTGGTAACACAAGTTCAAAATAGACTTATATATGATGAACTCAACTATGATAGACATGAATTAGCTATGGAACATTCCAAACTATTGTCCAGTCTTACCGATGAAGAAAAGAGTATATATGAAAAAATAATGCTTCATGTGACAGAAAAACGTGAAGGATTATTTTTTCTGTATGGATATGGTGGTACAGGTAAGACGTTTATTTGGAAAACACTCTATGCAGCTTTAAGGTCAAGGGGTGAAATAGTACTCACAGTTGCTTCGAGCGGAATAGCAGCTCTACTCATTCCAGGTGGACGAAAAGCACACTCAAGGTTTGTAATCCCTATAAATGTTCATGAAGAGTCTACATGCAATATTGCATTTGGGACTCCACTAGCTCAGTTAATAATCAAAGCAAAACTTATAATTTGGGATGAGGCTCCTATGACTCATAAGCATTCCTTTGAGGCTGTAGACAGAACTCTTAGGGATATTTTGAAATATTCTATTCATGATAGCAAAAACAAACCTTTTGGCGGAAAAACAGTTGTTTTTGGGGGAGATTTTAGACAAATACTACCTGTCATCCCGAAAGGAACAAGACAGCAGGTTGTGTTTGCAAGCATCAATTACTCATATTTATGGAAGTTTTGCCATGTACTAACACTGACAAAAAATATGAGATTACAGTCAGACAATCAAAATTTGGAAGAAATGCAAACTTTCTCAAGTTGGGTGTTAAGCATAGGTGATGGTACTATTGGTGGTCATAATGATGGTGTTGTGAATATTGAAATCCCTGATGATCTACTCATAAAACAATCGGGTAACCTACTTTAATCAATTGTAGAAGCTACATATCCTTTGTTTCTAAGTTAAATCAATGATTTTACTTATTTACAGCAAAGAGCTATATTAGCACCTACAAATGAGATTGTGGAAGAGGTAAACAATTACATGTTAGCTTTAATGCCCGGTGAGACAACGACATATTTGAGTTTTGACAGTCCATGCACAGCAAATGGGAGTATTGACACACATCATGACATTCATACACCAGAATTTCTAAATTGTATAACATCTTCTGGTCTTCCTAACCATGAGTTGAAACTTAAGATTGGTGTACCTGTTATGTTGCTAAGGAGTATTGATCAATCGTCGGGGTTGTGCAAACGACTAGGAAATTGTGTTGGAAGCCAAAATAATATCAGGAATAAATGTGGGTGATATAGTCTTTATTCCAAGGTTGACTTTAACGCCATCAGACACCAGAATTCCCTTTCACTTCCAACGACGGCATTTCCCTATTTCTCTATCGTTTGCTATGACTATCAATAAAAGTCTAGGTCAATCTCTTCAACATGTTGGTATATATCCAAAAAAACTTGTGTTTTCACATGGACAACTATATCTTGCCGTTTCAAGAGTTACAAGCCGTAAGGGTTTAAAGATACTCATATGTGATAATGAGGGGAATACTACAAATTCCACCACAAACGTTGTTTACAAAGAAATATTTCAAAACTTAAGGTAGCAATTAACTTTTATTACTGCTATTTAATTAATTTAAATTGTTATTTATTTCTTACTGTTATCTAATTATTCTACATACAAATATATGCTACGAATGTATTTTTTAGTATTTAGTTGACTTTGTTTATTGTTACTTTTAAATATTTAATCTATTGTTTTCTTTCTTTGTTCATTTTTTTTCTTTTTCTCAACCCATTTGCAGGTAGGGATGATGCTCATGACATCCAACATACTTCTCCAAACGAAAAATGAGTGACATTATTACAATAATATTAGTCATTTTTCTTATTCAGTTGTATTTTTCAAATAACTATTTTTTTCTATATAGGAATCACTGAATCGGTGTTCAAAATAATATAAATTACTTGCATTATTTTCCAGTGTTGTTGTTGAGTTACCCTCAAATAAATAACAAATAAATTTTATAATAATCTTTTGCAGGCCCTCAAGATACTATGTGTTTGCACCACTATATCTCTCGATTCCATTATATACCATGTTTAAGAAGTGGAATGAGTCATCCATTTTGCTACAGTTATCTATTAATAAATTTTATGTGAACAATTTATGCAGAAACTTCAATATTTACA